CTGCATGGCGGGAGCGGTCATCCACGAGGTGACACTTCGAGTATGCACGCGACAGCTCCGATGGGGCCTTCCGCAGCAGTCCTAGAATCGCAACAGGGTCCAGCACCGTTGATGCGTCATCCCGAGGTTCAGGGAGAGATCAGTCCTCTCCCGGCAGTGCGGGACGAGGGTTCTGTCCGTGCACTGCATCCACTCACGTCTGCCGGAGCGGCAGTCTCAGTTGCAGCGACCTCRGATGTGGGACAACCACTGGCAGCGGCGGAGCAAGAAAGTATGCTCCCACCTCGCAGTGTTCAACCGCGGCCACCGCCTGCATTGATGGAGGGGAGTCAGGGGACCGTTGTTGTGTRWCAAGGCGACGATCTCCCGGAACGTGATATCTCACACACTCCCGCAGCCGAGCAGAGCGCCGCAGACCATGTCGGCCTCGCATGCCCCACCGGCAGTCTTCCGAGTACCCGCGAGTTACTGACCATGGACTCTGCGCTCGTTTCTCTACCAGACTTGTCGACGTTGATATCCCCAAGTCTACCCCATGTGTCACCGCCCAAGCCACAACAGCTTGTTGTCATTGAGCGTGGATCGGACGGGTTTGACGTGGCAGGAGACGATATCGCCGATATGATTACGAGCCCAATGGTGTCTGCCACGCCCACAATTTTTCGTGTTGGCAAACTACGTGAGGTGGCCCTTGGTTTGGCGGAGACGGCGACGCGACACCGCCGCGACGGTCAGCGCAGCATCGCACAACGCAGTCTTTCTCATTCGTTTGACGGCGCAGAGGAAGGGTCTCCTGGTGGGCCAGTTGACACACTYGAAAGAGAAGCAAGACCCCCAAGTCCGCCATCAAACTTAGAGCATCATCCGATTGCCGCGGCTGTCGGCGCAGATGCGGGTGTCCCCGTCACAAACAGTGGCGCGGACGCGACAGAACAGCTTGTGGTTGGGTCATCGGCGACARCACGGCGCGACAGAGCCACTGTTTTGCCGACAGTGGCATTCTATGCCAGCGGGAAGAGTACTGGGGGGATGGATGAGCAGGGAGTCCGGAATGTTGGYAGGCCATCTGCACCGTCTATGGGGAAACGATCCATTGGGAGTGTGGATGGTGCTCGRCAYACCGCCATGGCCGAGTTTGAGGACCGACACGGGAGTGCTTTGCCGACGAAGACGTCTGATGTCCATGCTACGAGAGCCGCAAAGGCGAGTCTTTCTCGGGCAAGGAAGAAGGCVTCGGCAAGGAAGGCGTCACGTTCATCCTCACATATGCGTTCCCGAGAGAGAGGATCGGGCGTTGTGCATCTCGAGGACGGAGAGATTGCACCTGAYGGCGACGCATTGGATGTTGGRGGGAGGGATGCAACGACGRCGGATATMGTCGGCAGGGAGGGCACAGGGAATGCAGTGGCAGGTCAGAAGAGACGCGACAGTGTACTTATCGTCCACGACGACAGCACAGATGTCGCCCCGGGAGAGACCACAGGCACTGATAATGCAGGGGACTCCGATTACGTACCCAAACCACGGGCGGCAGATGGAGATGATGGAGGAAGGCGACGAGTGAGACCGAGGACACGACTCGGGCCGCAAGGGCAGCGAGCACAGGGCACACCATCGGCGATGATTCCTGCCCCCATAGATCGACGAGCTCAGGCGCAGCGGTTGCTGCACAAAATGGAGGCCACTCTTCAACAGA